AGCTGATGTCTGACACAGTCACTGAGGTGACGGACGTCTTGGAGAACGGTGTCTCCGGAGTTCACAATATTCACACCGTCCGTCTTGTATGCATTGTTTGCGACAGTCCTGCTAGGGCCTTTCTGAAGCAGGTGAAGGGACATACAGGATATTATGGTTGTGATTATTGCACACAAAAGAGTATGCACATTGGCACACGAATGACTTTTCTCTCGTTGACAGCTCCCTTGCGTCGCGACTCTGATTTCCGAACCAGAAAGCAAGAGAAGCACCATACAGATCCCATTCCGATGGAGTTGAATTTTCCTATGATTGACGGTTTCCCACCAGATTACATGCACAGTGTGTGCCTTGGTTTCGTGCGGAAATTCTTAATCTTACTCAGAGCTATGCCAATTGGACAAGGCTAGGCTTTCTTTGGAGTCCTGGAATCTACTGGATGATAACAATGGACAACAGAGTGTGGCTCTAAGTGCTGATTTCCCCCGAAAATGTCGAGGTGTCGTAGACCCGGATCGGTGGAAGGCATCTGAGCTACGACAGGTTCTTCTGTACATAGGACCTGTTGTTTTATGAGAGATCTTACATCCTGACGTTTACGAATGCTTCATGTATTTTTCTGTAACCACTTTCGTAAGCTGTTCACCCTTTTTCACAACACTGTGCTGATTTTTTAATCGAGGTTTCCAAGGTTTCTGTTTCAAAATTTGCTGCTATTTTCGGTCCGAACCATTTAGTCCACAACATACACCTGTTCTCGCGTTTATTTGATTTTGTCGAGCTCCACGGTTGCTTGGATCGTTTTTCCTGTTTTCCCTATGAATCGGAGCTGGGGCATTCAAAGTATTACATAGATGAGCCAAAACAACCTGGTGTTCAGCTGTACCGCCGACTGGCTGAGCACGTAAGATTGGATGCACTCGAAAGGACGATATTTTTGGATGATGTGGGCTTGCGACTGAGGCCATCAACCACTGGCGGATGTCACAGGTTTGTTCACAGGGATGTCGTTTTTCGGAAAACTTTCCCGACAACTGCATTCTGCTTGACGGTCAACCCGTTGTCATTGTAGACTTTTCTAGAGATACTATTGAATGTTGGACATTGAAAAC